ACTCCGGGAGACCAACACAAAGTGGTGAAAACTGTGCAATCAGAAGTTGGAGTTCAACGAAGTTGGCATAAAATCCACGAATATTCCATTGAAGAATAGACATTATCAAAAAGAGAAAGGACAGTAGCATTGAATGAAGAAAAAGGGAAAGAAGAACACAGCATATTAAATAAGCTCAAGATCAGGATCAGCAAAATCAGGGTTAGGAGGCATGGGTAAACTTGGTGAGGATGGAGGGAAGGGAATGGGAGGACAGACCAGAGGCAGATGGACGGGCCCGGAGAAGGAGGAGACAACTGAGAGGAGCTGTCAAGGACAGCTGGAGGAGGGAGGGGGGAGGGAGTAGAAACTGGGGGAGCGCACCTCAGCAAGGGCAGCAACCGAGAGGGAATTGAGGGCGAAAGAAACCTCCATATCTGGGACAGGGGCTCGACCACTGAAATGGGAGGGGACGAAGCGTGAGAGTCAGAGTTGGGGGCGAGAAAGAAATCGATGCCTTCTTACCTGCTGAGGAGGAGAGGAGAGGAGCCAGGCTTACGTTTCTGACTCAAAGAGACAGGTGTTCCAGCAACAACGTACTCAAGGGTCTCAGCAACAGAAGAAGAACGGGAGTGAAGAGCATGAAGATTGCTGGGAGGATAATGGACATCAGCCTGGACAGACAGGCAGTGTGGAGGGCCAAGAGATGGGTGGGGAGGTACTGGAAGAAGGATCGGGGGGGAAGAAGGAAAAGAAAACAGGAGACATGGTGGACAGGGTAGGAAGAGGGGAAGGAAACTCCAGGAGGAGGATCAGGAGGGAGACCTTCTGGGACAGGACATAAAGGAACAGAGGAGGTGGTGGTGGGCGTGTCTGGGTCCAAGGCTTGGAAACGATTGTGGGACTGAGGAAGGTGGGAAGGATGAGGAGAGGTAGAACGCAAAACGCAAGCATAAGATACACCAGTGAAAGGGTGGAGACGGCGGACTTTGCATCTCACCTCAGGAAAAGTCAAACGATCCCGGTGTTTCAAGTTCAGGACTCCTTCCTCAAGCTTGTAGTGGATACACGTGCAGGTGAAATTAAGGTGGGTCTTGTTGTAATCCACAAGTTAGTAGGAATTATTAGCTAGAGGATCATTACTACAACACTTAACGAATGATGATTGAAAGTACATGTAAGTAGACAGACTATGGATCACATATCTAAGAAAGGTCAATGGATTAAGACCGAAGCTGTTTAGCCAAATTAATAATTCCTGGAAAGAGGAATTATTCTTCGTCAGGCTTCTAGGAACAAGATTACCGCTCTAGGGATAAGGTTAATCGGATTATACCTTCCTTGAGAGGCGTGGTGAAATGTTTGAGGCCATGGCTGACTGGAGTCAGTCTGGTTGTGGAAGTTGGACTAGCAAGTCCTCCGAGGTCTCCGTTTGTGGCAGCAGCGAAGTGTAGCAGACAGCTATGCGAGAGCCTGTTGTGATCTTAGTGACCAAGTTAAGTCTGCAGTATGTGAGTATTGAATGCAAGACTAACCGGGTGTGGAGCGTTGTAGTAATCATTCCGTATTAGGGACTTAGGCGGAAGTTACGAGTGTGGGTGGTGATCGCGGAAGTCAAGTGGTCTATGGGTATTGGAAGTGTATTGACCTAATAGAGTATGTTAATTAATATAGTATTATTTGTCAGAGTCTATTCTTTGTAATTAAATGACAAAACCCGACGGCCTTTAAATACCTTCCGTATGTTCATTCATTGTGTTCCAGTACAAACCTAGTGGTACGCCTCAAGGGTCTGGTGTGTGTAGGAGTACACGGTGGTAGTAACGGTTGCTGAGGCAAGGTGTTATGTGTTGTGTAATCGCTGTGTTCGGAATGAACCGGGGTTCAGCGTCACGACAGTCTAGAGATGATTTTCTTGAGATGGGCGCCTGACAGCTGGGTGGACAGCTCTTTGGATTCGTAGGGCCTCATCGCAATTGAGGCAGCGAGCCTGGGGAGATGAGCAATCTGTCTTAGAGTGGCTATCGTCCCCACACATGGGGCATAGAGAAACAAGACTTGTGCATTTGAGGGCACTGTGTCCAAACTTCCAGCATTTATTACAAAGTCTAGGAGAGGGGATGTACTCCTGAACGGAGCACCTGGCACCGGTAAGAATGATAGAGGGCGGAAGGGTCCTACTATCAAAGGCGATTTTCACAACTCGAAGGGGCTGATGGGGGCGACCACGAGGGGATCGAGTGAACGTGTCTACCTGGAAGACAGGATGGCCTTGGGCTTCGAGGACATGTTTAATATCCTCATGACAGTCTTTCAGGCCCCTAACACCAGTTGCAACATGTTCCGGTAGGAACAGTGCCAATACTGGCATTTAACCGAGTTTTTTTTTTTTGGAGACCCGAACATGGGGTCTCCCCCATTGCAGGACAATGCGGCTAAGCGGGTAGCTGTATCCGGTGACGGAGCAGCGACGACACGTGTACCAAAACGGGTGGGGTTAAAGGTAACAATGGCATCTACCGAATCAACAAGGTGTTTATGGAGGGAGAAATGGTCAGGAGGTGTGGAATCCAGAGGGAGGAGATCAAAGTATTTAGCCCACGAAGTAGGACCAAACAAGGCTTGGTACGTATTAGTATGGAAGGTATCGTGTGAGTGCGGCTGTGGTGGGGACGGCGTTGAGACCCCCAGAGAGAGGGGTTAAAAGGCGCAGTAGTCACAAGGAGAGACTGAGCTGTGCCAGGGGACGAGGTGGTCACTGCTGCGGGCCTGTGGCTCGGCCCAAAAACAGAGGAGTGAGGGGAGCTAGGGGGAGTAGTCAGGAGGGTCAAAGGAGGACCGAGGTCTGGGCCCAATGTAGCGGGGGCTACAGAGCCCGGTCTTCCAACACAGTCCGACTCAGTGGCTTAGTCGCCCACCCCACGAGCCTGAGAAATCATAAGAGGAACAGTATTCAGCGACATGGAAACGAGAGGTTATCCTTTCACTCACAATTGTGCCCCCGCACCCACCACGGAGCCTCAATTAGAGGATAGGACACCCAACAAGAGACATGTTGCCAGTCTTGCCTGAACCCCCTAGGGGTGCGTCGTGAGTATATGCTCCACAATCGCGACCTTAAGAACCTTTAGTCTGTTGAGATCGGGTTCAGTGACAAAAGGAGGATTGACGATAAAAAGGGTCCCCTCGCTCGAGACGTTGGGTACTACAGTTCTACGAGTGAGAGAGTATGCCTCCTCAAACAGCCGGGCATCAAAACAGAAGTAGTCTGAAAGAATAATCAAGACTGGCAAAAGGTCGCCAGGAAATGAAAATTAGAAAGGAGAAGAGGGGGGGAGGGGGGAGAAAAATGAAACAAGGAAAAGGAAAAGATTTCTGGCAAAATTGGTGAAGACAGCAGCAGGAGCATAAGGCTTCAAAAGGACAGAGGACTGACCCATGGAGCATCACACTCCGGCAGCTGCCTACTAAGCCCCCGCACAATGACAATGGGCCAGAAAGGGTGAGGGGTTCCCTGGTGGAAGGCTGTGTTCTTATCGACCCCTGTATAGTGTCTTACTAATTACATTTTACTCCTCAGAAGTGATGTGGGTGGTATCTTCATCGACAGGAATCGGTTCACCCAGTGCAGTCCTGAACTCAAGACATGTTCCAGTGTGAACAAGTGGCCGAATCGGTGTAGACTGTAATTTGTCTGTGATACTTGGTAAAGTATTGGTGATTGGATCAACGTATCCCTGGATGGTCGAGTTGAGTTATGAGATGGAATCAATGTCCATCTGTTAAGGCTCGTTATAATTGAAGCCTGTGTGGAAATCTGCCTGCTTGTGGCTCGAGACCGCCGCCGCCAGCATGTTGCTGGAGTAGAAGTGGTGTTTTGACACCGTGATGATACTGTGTTGCACTGGTTCGTGATTTACTGAGAAAGGAGAACTCGCCGGCGTGAGGACCATAGGAGACAGACTCGGGGAGGGAATCTTGAGTGTTGTACGATATAAGATGGAAGTGGACATGCCAGGAAAGAAGATTGCATTAGTTTTATAGTGTCCTGTGTGTGACACCTGCAGTGTTATGTACTGCACATATGTATATATATAGTTAAGAAGTACACTTGGTGATTGTTCTGTTTAGTGTTGTTTACCCTCCTTTTCCTTTAAATTAATTATTACTGCCAGTTCTTATTAACTTGCCTATGACTCGGGATGGGATCGAGTAAGAAGAGGCACCGAGGCTCCATATACAGTTTGATAAGTAAATAACCCAGTTACTAGCTAAGTGAAGCCGTGACAATATGAAATATTACAAAAGGAAAATATGAAAACGTCAACATTATTCAACTACATTCCAATATGAGATTCTTTGGAGCGGGGTGTCAAGGGGTGACCCTAGGATGTGAGGTCCATCCCACCGTCCTGCTGCAGAATTTTATCATAGCTGTATCAGTTACATTGAAAATATTTCAATATCCTCTCACTGGTCTCAGTCTCTTTAGTGACCACCCACAGGTTGCCTGCCGTGAAGCCCAGCGAGTGCAGTGAGGAATGTAAAAAATACAACGTTGATGAGAGACAAAGAAAAGCATTATAATAAGAATTACTAAATAAGAAACAATCGGCTTTCAGAGTTAATAACCTCGTTGTACACATTACCACAATATGGAACAAAATTCTCGATTGTGGAAATAATTTATATTTCTATAACATTTTATGTATATTGGCACAAAAGTTTGGTGTGAAAGCTTGGGCGGGAATTGGATGACGGAAACTTTCTGTGCCGCCGCTTTAACAAGTACAGTAGGTGAACCTTTCAGAGCGTGATGAACAAGCATGTCTCCAGCTGACATGCCATAGGAGCAAGTGTACCCCAGGATATGGAACGTTTACTTAGATGCATCTTTGAAGTTAATCCAAGATACCCGAGCCACAAGATGATCGCAAGCTCAGCTTCACTGGAGATATGGAAGGGAACGTAATCACATACGGTATCCCAGTAGCTATAATAAGGCTAGACAAGAAAAGCCGTGTAAATTATTCATTTATTAATATATTAGTCATTGAGATTGTTGAAAACTTATCTTAATTCAAATACAAATGATGTTGCAGTAATATGCACTAGAAAATTGGCATTTTTCTTGCAACATCTGGATGCTGAAGGGTCTTTAACACAATGAAACGAAGTAAATAACAAAAGAAGGTGCCAAGCTGGGGAGCATATGTAGCACCATCGGTAACCATTAAAGTTTCAGGATATCCGAGAGGCCCGAGATGTCACCAAGATGGGCCAATACGAGAGCAAAAGTGCATAAGACGAGCGATAGGAAAGGCCGATTCACAAAGAAACTGGAAATCCATCTGTCATGGAGTTCACTTGCCAAAATATTGGCATTCCTGTCCCACCCAATCTTAACTGCACTGGAAGACAATATTCAAGACAGAACCACATATCTAGAAAGTCTTAAATATTATGAACCCGACGAAGTGCCATACATGCAGCCTTCCCACCACAGAAGAAATGCAACGTCTCTCGGTCTGTTGCTCAACCTATAGAATGCATTTTCTCCAACTTAGCGTCTTCACAACTCCCGTCTGTCAAGAATAAGACGCCGAATGACTCGTGCCAAATGTGGTTACCAAAAAGATGTCTTGTACAGGACCCGAGTGTTGAGATGTTTGCATCGGGCAAAACACACACAACTATAAATCGAGGTTTGGCAATAGGTCGGAGATCAAAATATAAAGAAAAGTCGACAATATTAACATCTTGGAAATTACTGGTAATTAACACAATATGGTAACCAAAACAGTTCCATGTAAACACACACTGTTGTAAATTTATGTAAACAAATAGGAAAATTGTAGCTAGCATTACTTAAACTAACAACTAATGTGTACAGCAAATCTTAAAAGTAATATACAATTAAATAAATGTGCTATGTTTTAATTTTACATTCACTCAACCAAATGACCCCATTTACACTATGACATCAGTGGTCCCCATGCAGCACAGTGACATCAATGACACAAGCTGCACTATATCTATGGCCCCAGCAGCATTCTGGCATTAGTGACCCCCAGCGGCACTGTGACATCAGCGGTACACTGACATCAGCTCCAGTGACAGTAGAACTATGACATTAATGACCAAAGCAGCACGGCAACCAAACCCTAACACCCCCTCAAGATAACAGTCAACGATGGGTAATATCGCCATCCTGTCTGTGTTCGACCCAGGGTGGAGGGGTGGCTCTTGGGTCCTTGAATGTTCCCTCCGCAAACATCTTGTTCCATTCTGAGCCATATGGGTACTCGTAGGCCTGCAAGCTCCTCTCCCACATTTCCACGCTGTACCCGGGAACCTGGTGAAGGGAGAGGGAGAGTGTTAGACACTATGGAGGTAAAGGCTGCATTTTGGAGGAAACGAGAGATTAAATCAGTCATTGACAAATGGGAAGAATTAGAATACAAAGATCTTCTGCTATTTATGTATACTCATCAATCATGGACTATATAATAATTCACATTAATTCTGGGCCAATCGTTTGTAAAGGATACCGAGCTAATTACAGAGATATATAGAGATTTACTGAATTCAAACCAACCTTATTGGCTCACTCATGTCATGACACTTAAGTTGACATGACAAAATGTTAGATTGTATGTTCTTGGATTCTTCAATGATCAAATGAGGAATTACTCCGTATGAGGAATTTTATTTTTCCTCTTACCCTAAGTTGAGAAGATAGTGAATGAAGTGCATGGAAAGAATCCTGACATATCGGAGTCCCTTTAACGAGGTAAGTAAGTAATTATCAAAAGAAGAGACCAAACCCGGAAGGCTATGTAGCACCGCCAAAAGCGAGGGATGTTCAAAAGGCGCGAAATATCACTGAGGATGTCAATACAAGATTAAAAGCGCATATGGCGAACAGCATACAGGCATCCAAGTCACTAAGGATACTATCGAGGGACAAGTGATTGCGAGGGATGGTCGGGAAGCAAGACGCATGTTCGTCCTGGAAGTCAGGACAGTCAACAAGGATATGCACAACCATAAAAGGGACAATGCAATTCGGACAATAAGGAGCAGGGCGGCGCTCCATTAAGTGCCCCGTGAGTTAAACGGGTGTGGCCAATACGCAACCTCGCCAAAGTCTTTTCCCACCGCCGGTTATGGTGGTAGGAGGAAGGCCATGGAGACACACTACTCTTAAGAGCACGCAGTTTGTTACCAGTAACAGAAGACCAACAATCCTGCCACCGGGCATGGATCGAAGAATGAACAACTGGGTAAAAGTCGAAATAAGAAACACCTTTGCGGGAAATGGGTGGAACAAGTGCGGATAGTCTATTTTTTTTTTATATGTATACACGAGTACTTATATTTTTGTACAGCCACTAGTATGCGTAGCATTTCGGGCAAGTCCTTAATCCTATGTTCCCTGGAATACGACCCCCGTGAAGAATCGTTTTTACAACCAATTACCCATTTTACTGTTGAGTTAAACAGAGGGTACAGTTAAGGATTTGCGCCCAGTAATTCCTCCCCGGCTAGGATACATACCCAGGACAAAGGGCTCATGGAACGCCAGGCGATCGTCTTACCACTACACCACAGAGACTATAAGCTCTCCGTGGTGTCTTTAGCGGCAGCATCCGCACACTCATTTAAGAAAACACCAATATGGTTGGTGTTTTCCATATATGGTCTTAAATCTGCTGGAGATAAGAAACAGCCAATGTTGATTTTCGACAACAACAGGAAGGACAAGATAAAAGGACTCCATGGGCCAGATTCACGAAGTAGTTACCTTTTTTTTTTTTGCAGGGATATTCCTGCGCGGGCCCCAAGCCTCTGACTGGCCCACTAAGTGTTGCTTATTTCTGTTTTATTTGGACGGAGTATGAGTATTTATGACTCGTATGGTCGCTTCAGTAAGATTTTGTCCCACGTGTTTAACAACAACAACTGCTCTGATTAATCGAAGTCGACATCTTAATGGGTTTGTAACTGTGCACTGTGTTAGATAATGTTCCAGTGGTCTGTCGGGCATTTCTCCACAGTGCTGACACTTCCTCTCATCTTCTGGAACCTGTAAGCCTATTTCCCATGCACATGGGTATCCAAGCCTGATGCGATGTAAGTGCACTTCTGTTGTTCTACTGTTCCCTTTCATCAACCTAAGTGGTTCGTAGTTGGTTGAATTTTTGTACCAACCCGCAGATCCTGATGTTGCAACTGCTGTGTTGTGGTCACTGTACATCTTTTGCATTGCTCTGTTTCTAATTACTTTCTTAATCTGTGATAGACTCTGTGGTATGTAAATGTCTACATTTCTTCTCTTAGTTGCAAGTTTTGCAGCTTCGTCTGCAATGTCATTTCCTATTATTCCCACATGACTTAGCACCTAGTTGGTAAGTACCCATCGGCCTTGTCGTTTGAGTGTTTACATTAATGATATGACATTTGTGATCAGATGGATGTTATCACACATGTGTTGCAAGGTTTCAATGGCAGTTCTCGAATCTGTATGTATGATAACATGTCGGTGTTCAGCAAGAGCATGTTCCATAGCCTTTTGAATACCTAGCATGAAGCAGTTATGCACACACTTACGAACCTGTACACCTTTTCTCAATCTTTGGTGGCTTTGTTTACAATTATTAAACAGTTAATGAGCTCCGAAGCACCAGGAGGCTGTTTATAACAACAACAACAGTTGGTTGGGAAGTTTTCATGCTTGTAAACTGTTTAATAAATGTAACCAAAGGCGTCAAAGATTGAGGAAAGATGAACAGGTTCGTAAGTACTTGCGTAACTGCTTCGTGAATCTGGTCCGAGCCATGAGGACACTGCGAGAGTCAACTATAACAACAAAGGAAGAATGACGGTGAGAAAGCAGTTGGCAAAGAACAAATAAAATTGCATAAAGTTCAGCTGAGAAGACGCTAGGCTCTGGAGGCAGGCGACACATATAGGTGTAGTCAGGAAACACAACGGAGTAGCCCACACCTGATGCACTGTCTCTCCTGCCCCCTGGTGGAGCCTGCTGCAGTGTGACTCACGCTTCTTGGTGGAGCCTGCTGCAGCGTGACTCGCGCTTCTTGGTGGAGCCTGCTGCAGTGTGACTCACGCTTCTTGGTGGAGCCTGCTGCAGCGTGACGCCTTCCTCCTGGTGAAGCCTGCTGCAGCGTGACGCCTGCCCCCCTGGTGGAGCCTGCTGCAGTGTGGCTCCTGCCCCCTGGTGGAGCCTGCTGCAGTGTGGCTCCTGCCCCCTGGTGGAGCCTGCTGCAGTGTGGCTCCTGCCCCCTGGTGGAGCCTGCTGCAGTGTGGCTCCTGCCCCCTGGTGGAGCCTGCTGCAGTGTGGCTCCTGACCCCTGGTGGAGCCTGCTGCAGTGTGGCTCCTGACCCCTGGTGGAGCCTGCTGCAGTGTGGCTCCTGCCCCCTGGTGGAGCCTGCTGCAGTGTGACGCCTGCCCCCTGGTGGAGCCTGCTGCAGTGTGACGCCTGCCCCCTGGTGGAGCCTGCTGCAGTGTGGCTCCTGCCCCCTGGTGGAGCCTGCTGCAGTGTGACGCCTGCCCCCTGGTGGAGCCTGCTGCAGTGTGACGCCTGCCCCCTGGTGGAGCCTGCTGCAGTGTGACGCCTGCCCCCCTGGTGGAGCCTGCTGCAGTGTGGCTCCTGCCCCCTGGTGGAGCCTGCTGCAGTGTGACGCCTGCCCCCTGGTGGAGCCTGCGGCAGTGTGACGCCTGTCCCCTGGTGGAGCCTGCTGCAGTGTGACGCCTGCCCCCCTGGTGGAGCCTGCTGCAGTGTGGCTCCTGCCCCCTGGTGGAGCCTGCTGCAGTGTGACGCCTGCCCCCTGGTGGAGCCTGCGGCAGTGTGACGCCTGTCCCCTGGTGGAGCCTGCTGCAGTGTGGCTCCTGACCCCTGGTGGAGCCTGCTGCAGTGTGGCTCCTGCCCCCTGGTGGAGCCTGCTGCAGTGTGACTCCTGCCTCTTGGTGGAGCCTGCTGCAGCATGACGCCTGCCCCCCTGGTGGAGCCTGCTGCAGTGTGGCTCCTGACCCCTGGTGGAGCCTGCTGCAGTGTGGCTCCTGCCCCCTGGTGGAGCCTGCTGCAGTGTGACTCCTGCCTCTTGGTGGAGCCTGCTGCAGTGTGACGCCTGCCCCCTGGTGGAGCCTGCTGCATTGTGACGCCTGCCCCCTGGTGGAGCCTGCTGCTGTGTGACGCCTGCCCCCTGGTGGAGCCTGCTGCAGCGTGACTCCTGCCCCCTGGTGGAGCCTGCTGCAGTGTGACGCCTGTCCCCTGGTGGATCCTGCGGCAGTGTGACGCCTGCCCCCTGGTGGAGCCTGCTGCAGTGTGACGCCTGCCCCCTGGTGGAGCCTGCTGCAGTGTGACGCCTGCCCCCTGGTGGAGCCTGCGGCAGTGCGACTCCTGTCCCCTGGTGAAGCCTGCTGCAGTGTGACGCCTGCCCCCTGGTGGAGCCTGCGGCAGTGTGACGCCTGTCCCGTGGTGGAGCCTGCGGCAGTGTGACGCCTGTCCCCTGGTGAAACCTGCTGCAGTGTGACGCCTGCCCCCTGGTGAAACCTGCTGCAGTGTGACGCCTGCCCCCTGGTGGAGCCTGCGGCAGTGTGACTCCTGCCTCCTGGTGGAGCCTGCGGCAGTGTGACTCCTGCCTCCTGGTGGAGCCTGCGGCAGTGTGACTCCTGCCTCCTGATGGAGCCTGCGGCAGTGTGACTCCTGCCTCCTGGTGGAGCCTGCGGCAGTGTGACTCCTGCCTCCTGATGGAGCCTGCGGCAGTGTGACTCCTGCCTCCTGGTGGAGCCTGCGGCAGTGTGACTCCTGCCTCCTGGTGGAGCCTGCGGCAGTGTGACTCCTGCCTCCTGGTGGAGCCTGCGGCAGTGTGACTCCTGCCTCCTGGTGGAGCCTGCGGCAGTGTGACTCCTGCCTCCTGGTGGAGCCTGCGGCAGTGTGACTCCTGCCTCCTGATGGAGCCTGCGGCAGTGTGACTCCTGCCTCCTGGTGGAGCCTGCGGCAGTGTGACTCCTGCCTCCTGGTGGAGCCTGCGGCAGTGTGACTCCTGCCTCCTGGTGGAGCCTGCGGCAGTGTGACTCCTGCCTCCTGATGGAGCCTGCGGCAGTGTGACTCCTGCCTCCTGATGGAGCCTGCGGCAGTGTGACTCCTGCCTCCTGATGGAGCCTGCGGCAGTGTGACTCCTGCCTCCTGGTGGAGCCTGCGGCAGTGTGACTCCTGCCTCCTGGTGGAGCCTGCGGCAGTGTGACTCCTGCCTCCTGGTGGAGCCTGCGGCAGTGTGACTCCTGCCTCCTGGTGGAGCCTGCGGCAGTGTGACTCCTGCCTCCTGGTGGAGCCTGCGGCAGTGTGACTCCTGCCTCCTGGTGGAGCCTGCGGCAGTGTGACTCCTGCCTCCTGGTGGAGCCTGGGCAGTGTGACTCCTGCCTCCTGGTGGAGCCTGCTGCAGTGTGACTCCTGCCTCCTGGTGGAGCCTGCGGCAGTGTGACTCCTGCCTCCTGGTGGAGCCTGCGGCAGGAGGCAGGAGTCACATTCAATTGCAACACGACTCCTGCCCCCTGGTGGAGCCTGCGGCAGTGTGACGCCTGCCCCCGTTGGAGCCTGCGGCAGTGTGACGCCTGCCTCCTGGTGGATCCTGCGGCAGTGTGACTCCTGCCCCCTGGTGGAGCCTGCGGCAGTGTGACTCCTGCCTCCTGGTGGAGCCTGCGGCAGTGTGACTCCTGCCCCCTGGTGAAGCCTGCTGCAGTGTGACGCCTGCCCCCTGGTGGAGCCTGCGGCAGTGTGACTCCTGCCCCCTGGTGAAGCCTGCTGCAGTGTGACGCCTGCCCCCTGGTGGAGCCTGCGGCAGTGTGACTCCTGCCTCCTGGTGGAGCCTGCTGCAGTGTGACTCCTGCCCCCTGGTGGAGCCTGCGGCAGTGTGACTCCTGCCCCCTGGTGAAGCCTGCTGCAGTGTGACGCCTGCCCCCTGGTGGAGCCTGCGGCAGTGTGACTCCTGCCCCCTGGTGGAGCCTGCGGCAGTGTGACTCCTGCCCCCTGGTGAAGCCTGCGGCAGTGTGACTCCTGCCCCCTGGTGGAGCCTGCTGCAGTGTGACTCCTGCCCCCTGGTGGAGCCTGTTGCAGTGTGACTCCTGCCCCCTTGAGGTTATCTTGAGATGATTTCGGGTCTTTTTTAGTGTCCCCGCGGCCCGGTCCTCGACCAGGCCTCCACCCCCAGGAAGCAGCCCGTGACAGCTGACTAACACCCAGGTACCTATTTTACTGCTAGGTAACAGGGGGATAGGGTGAAAGAAAATCTGCCCATTGTTTCTCGCCGGCGCCTGGGATCGAACCCAGGACCACAGGATCACAAGTCCAGCGTGCTGTCCGCTCAGCCGATCGGATCCCCAGGTGGAGCCTGCTGCAGTGTGACTCCTGCCCCCTGGTGGAGCCTGCTGCAGTGTGACGCCTGCCCCCTGGTGGAGCCTGCTGCAGTGTGACTCCTGCCCCCTGGTGGAGCCTGCTGCAGTGTGACTCCTGCCCCCTGGTGGAGCCTGCTGCAGTGTGACTCCTGCCCCCTGGTGGAGCCTGCTGCAGTGTGACGCCTGCCCCCTGGTGGAACCTGCGGCAGTGTGACGCCTGCCCCCTGGTGGAGCCTGCGGCAGTGTGACGCCTGCCCCCTGGTGGAGCTGGCTGCAGTGTGACGCCTGCCCCCTGGTGGAGCCTGCTGCAGTGTGACGCCTGCCCCCTGGTGGAGCCTGCTGCAGTGTGACTCCTGCCCCCTGGTGGAGCTGGCTGCAGTGTGACGCCTGCCCCCTGGTGGAGCCTGCTGCAGTGTGACGCCTGCCCCCTGGTGGAGCCTGCGGCAGTGTGACGCCTGCCCCCTGGTGGAGCCTGCTGCAGTGTGACTCCTGCCCCCTGGTGGAGCCTGCTGCAGCATGACGCCTGCCCCCTGGTGGAGCCTGCTGCAGTGTGACTCCTGCCCCCTGGTGGAGCCGGCTGCAGTGTGACGCCTGCCCCCTGGTGGAGCCTGCGGCAGTGTGACTCCTGCCCCCTGGTGGAGCCTGCGGCAGTGTGACTCCTGCCCCCTGGTGGAGCCTGCGGCAGTGTGACTCCTGCCCCCTGGTGGAGCCTGCTGCAGTGTGACTCCTGCCCCCTGGTGGAGCCTGTTGCAGTGTGACTCCTGCCCCCTTGAGGTTATCTTGAGATGATTTCGGGTCTTTTTTAGTGTCCCCGCGGCCCGGTCCTCGACCAGGCCTCCACCCCCAGGAAGCAGCCCGTGACAGCTGACTAACACCCAGGTACCTATTTTACTGCTAGGTAACAGGGGGATAGGGTGAAAGAAAATCTGCCCATTGTTTCTCGCCGGCGCCTGGGATCGAACCCAGGACCACAGGATCACAAGTCCAGCGTGCTGTCCGCTCAGCCGATCGGATCCCCAGGTGGAGCCTGCTGCAGTGTGACTCCTGCCCCCTGGTGGAGCCTGCTGCAGTGTGACGCCTGCCCCCTGGTGGAGCCTGCTGCAGTGTGACTCCTGCCCCCTGGTGGAGCCTGCTGCAGTGTGACTCCTGCCCCCTGGTGGAGCCTGCTGCAGTGTGACTCCTGCCCCCTGGTGGAGCCTGCTGCAGTGTGACGCCTGCCCCCTGGTGGAACCTGCGGCAGTGTGACGCCTGCCCCCTGGTGGAGCCGGCTGCAGTGTGACGCCTGCCCCCTGGTGGAGCCTGCTGCAGTGTGACGCCTGCCCCCTGGTGGAGCCTGCTGCAGTGTGACGCCTGCCCCCTGGTGGAGCCTGCTGCAGTGTGACTCCTGCCCCCTGGTGGAGCGGGCTGCAGTGTGACGCCTGCCCCCTGGTGGAGCCTGCTGCAGTGTGACGCCTGCCCCCTGGTGGAGCCTGCGGCAGTGTGACGCCTGCCCCCTGGTGGAGCCTGCTGCAGTGTGACTCCTGCCCCCTGGTGGAGCCTGCTGCAGCATGACGCCTGCCCCCTGGTGGAGCCTGCTGCAGTGTGACTCCTGCCCCCTGGTGGAGCCGGCTGCAGTGTGACGCCTGCCCCCTGGTGGAGCCGGTTGCAGTGTGACGCCTGCCCCCTGGTGGAGCCTGCGGCAGTGTGACGCCTGCCCCCTGGTGGAGCCGGCTGCAGTGTGACGCCTGCCCCCTGGTGGAACCTGTTGCAGTGTGACTCCTGCCCCCTGGTGGAGCCGGCTGCAGTGTGATGTGATGCCATCTGCGTGTGCGCTCGCTCGCCACATATACTACAATATCAATAACATGAATGAATATAACAGAGAAAAAAGTGGATATTTTTAGTACAGTGAAAGTACCTTAGGAGCGAGATAGTGGCAGTTGTGGACCTTTATGGGCGTCTTGAAGTGCTGGGAGAGATGGTCGACGTACTCTATGATGCGCTCCTTAGTGGTGCCCGACACGCTGATGTAATCCCACATCTGCAGGTGCTGAACCATCTCACACAGCCCCACACCTCCAGCATGGGGGCACACCGGCACTGGTGAGGGGAAGACGAGCAGCGAGTCAACTCTCTCTCATCCTCATCATATCTCTCTCCTTTACTGTTTGTTACACCCACCAAGTCTTACAGTCTTAATGCCTGTTACTCCATCTTTCTATTTAACTTTCTACTATCCTCTCTATCTGCCATTTACCCAGCTTTTTTTAATTTCCTTTCTTACCTTACCTACTTGCTTTTATTGTTCTCTCTCTCTCTCTCTCTCTCTCTCTCTCTCTCTCTCTCTCTCTCTCTCCATGGCCCGTCCTCCGGTCACATCCATGCTCACCCTTGAACTTCTTGGCCATAAGGTAGATAGCGAGGACCTCGTTGACGCCGCCGGTCCTGCAGGCGTCTATCTGGCAGTACCGGAGGGCTCCGGCCTGGAACATCTGCTTGAACATCACCCGGTTCTGGCACATCTCCCCGCTCGCCACCCCAATACCCAGGGGCTCCAGGGCCTGCCGAGGAGTGACAATACTTGTGGAAATGTTTCAAGAATGTAACACCATTAACAGGGGCACTGCATCAGTGAGAATGAAAGCAGCAATGGCTTGAAGAAATATTTTTCAGTTCTCTGACTAATATAAAGATAATAAAATTTAACCATTTCTTCAATTTCAATTTAAGGAATATTAAAGAAGTAAATTTTCATCAGAATCTACACACCGGAAGGCTTCAGAAATAAAAATTAATTCTTTTGATAAATAAAATGCATACTATCCACACTATAAGTCCAAGAAAGACAATTTTTACTTAAAATACAAATTTTAAATTAAGGTAACGAAACTTCATCATGATGACGGAGGCTGCAGGACTTACAGCAACAAGTGGTGGCCAGACTACTGACGTGACTATGCTGGTGAGACCATTGACCTCACCTTAGATGTGGCAGAGTGACCATTGACCTCACCTTAGATGTGGCAGAGTGACCATTGACCTGACCTTAGATGTGGCAGAGTGACCATTGACCTGACCTTAGATGTGGCAGAGTGACCATTGACCTGGCCTTAGATGTGGCAGAGTGACCATTGACCTCACCTTAGATGTGGCAGAGTGACCATTGACCTGACCTTAGATGTGGCAGAGTGACCATTGACCTCACCTTAGATGTGGCAGAGTGACCATTGACCTCACCTTAGATGTGGCAGAGTGACCATTGACCTCACCTTAGATGTGGCAGAGTGACCATTGACCTCACCTTAGATGTGGCAGAGTGACCATTGACCTCACCTTAGATGTGGCAGAGTGACCATTGACCTCACCTTAGATGTGGCAGAGTGACCATTGACCTCACCTTAGATGTGGCAGAGTGACCATTGACCTCACCTTAGATGTGGCAGAGTGACCATTGACCTCACCTTAGATGTGGCAGAGTGACCATTGACCTCACCTTAGATGTGGCAGAGTGACCATTGACCTCACCTTAGATGTGGCAGAGCGACCATTGACCTCACCTTAGATGTGGCAGAGCGACCATTGACCTCACCTTAGATGTGGCAGAGCGACCATTGACCTCACCTTAGATGTGGCAGAGCGACCATTGACCTCACCTTAGATGTGGCAGAGCGACCATTGACCTCACCTTAGATGTGGCAGAGCGACCATTGACCTCACCTTAGATGTGGCAGAGCGACCATTGACCTCACCTTAGATGTGGCAGAGCGACCATTGACCTCACCTTAGATGTGGCAGAGCGACCATTGACCTGACCTTAGATGTGGCAGAGTGACCATTGACCTGACCTTAGATGTGGCAGAGTGACCATTGACCTCACCTTAGATGTGGCAGAGTGACCATTGACCTGACCTTAGATGTGGCAGAGTGACCATTGACCTGACCTTAGATGTGGCAGAGTGACCATTGACCTGACCTTAGATGTGGCAGAGTGACCATTGACCTGACCTTAGATGTGGCAGAGTGACCATTGACCTGACCTTAGATGTGGCAGAGTGACCATTGACCTGACCTTAGATGTGGCAGAGTGACCATTGACCTGACCTTAGATGTGGCAGAATGACCCTTGACCTGACCTTAGATGTGGCAGAGTGACCATTGACCTCACCTTAGATGTGGCAGAGTGACCATTGACCTCACCTTAGATGTGGCAGAGTGACCATTGACCTCACCTTAGATGTGGCAGAGTGACCATTGACCTCACCTTAGATGTGGCAGAATGACCATTGACCTCACCTTAGATGTGGCAGAGTGACCATTGACCTCACCTTAGATGTGGCAGAATGACCCTTGACCTGACCTTAGATGTGGCAGAGTGACCATTGACCTCGCCTTAGATGTGGCAGAGTGACCTCGCCCATTGACCTGACCTTAGATGTGGCAGTGACCATTGACCTCACCTTAGATGTGGCAGAGTGACCATTGACCTCACCTTAGCTATAGTGGCGTGACCAAGAACATCGTCAGGGCTGGTGGGTTCCTCAATCCACAGAGGCTTGTAGGGGGCGAGTTCCTTCATCCAGGCTACAGCCTCGTCCACGCCCCACTTCTGGTTGGCGTCCACCATCTCCCAGTGAACAGTTAGAAAGTGAGACATTATGGGTACTTGTCTAAAGCTAAACTCATTAATAAATAGAAAGTCGAATTATTTGAATTGGCAAAACTCATGTTGTGGGAACGTTTACCTTTGGGCAGTTTTATCAAGTTGTATAATAAGTAAAGAACTTTTATCAAATTATTAAACAAAATTTGATTAGGGAATCTAAGCACAATACTTTTTCCAATGTTCCTCTTCTGTCTCCTATTCCTCCATCTCTCAAAGTGGAGTTCGACCCCCCGATTGTCAAAGTTGTTGGACACTGTTCCTTCAATCCGCCCACAATCCCAGCTCCTTATCTTCGTATCCCAGCTCCTTATCCTCGTATCCCAGCTCCTTATCCTCGTATCCCAGCTCCTTATCCTCGTATCCCAGCTCCTTATCCTCGTATCCCTTCCAACTGCAATATGACCACACTGGCTCAGCGACTTACAAGGTACCTTGAGACTCACCATGGTATTATCTTGGCCAATAATGTCCCTGACGATTTTGCACCTCCTCTTGTCGTCCTCCAAGTCCTGCCCGACCTTGATCTTGAAGTGTCGCCACCCTCGCGACAGGTTCTCCTTCAGCAGCCCTTCGATCTTCTCCTGCGAGTACCCGAGCCATCCTGCCGGTAGTCAAGAGGACGTCGTTTGTCTAAGATTGGCAGGCCAATTCACATTCTTAACCCTTAAAACCATTGTTCTAGAATAGAAAACATACCTAGTACAGTATTCTGAAATAAAAGGAGAGAATATAAGGGGAAAGCGCCAAGCCATTACGACTATATAGCACTTGGAAGGGGTCATAATAAGGATTTGGGAAGGGACGAGGGGAAGGAATGGTGCCCAACCACTTGGATAGTCGGGGATTGACCACCGGCCTGAATGAAGCGAAACCGTCGCTCTACCGTTCAGTC